TCTCCTTGTGTATATCGAAATCTGCAAACTTCTCATAATTTAAAAATTTTGGTAATTTAAAAATTTTGAAAAAGTTGTAGACAATTATTTTCTTTAAAAGACACAAATTTGAAAAAAAGTGCTACACACAAATATTAATGAAGTTTGTATATTTTAAAAATTATTTTGTGCTAAAAACATTTTTTAGGTAATTTTTTCTATTTTAAAAATTATATTGTGAATAAAAATATTAAAATATCACATTTTAAATAATTAAATTAAAAATAATTTTAGTTTTAAGAATTAAAATAAGAAATTGTGTTTAATTCTAAGAGAAATATAAAATCTTTATATAATGAAATAATGAAATAAATAACGTGTTGCTACTCGTATTATCATCATCTCAATTCCTTCAGTTTCAATTACTATTTTGCACTCTGTTAGCGGAGCACCACTGTTGTTCTGAAGGCTGTAAAAAATGAAGCATGCATACTTTGTTTCAAAGTGTATAGCAAAGCGCATACTTGAACTTCATACTTGGTGTGCAGACATGCAGCATCGTCCATATCATGTTTAAAACAAAATAATATAAAATATATAATAAGAAGTAATAGGCATGGTTGCCATGTTTGTCCAACACAGACTTCAAAAAAATTATTGATAAGAACTTAAATTTCTTGTCTTGAATTGATTTAAAAGTAATACCGATTAAATGCGAACAAGAACCTAATAATCTGCTTCAACCTTCAATTGGTGCAACAATTGAAGAGCTGTATTTTTATCATGATTAAAGTAGAAAATAACTTCTCTATTCTACTCCACAATCATTTAATCCACTCAAAATACATTATTAAAGACTTACTTTAAAACATCAAAGTATCAGAATCGTGAAGAAAATGAAAAACTTACCAAAATAACAAAGTTGACCATTTCCCATATACAGGCAACAAGTTTTTAGAAAATGCGATGTTATTCAGTAGTAGAAACTTTGAACAATGTAGCTTCTGCATCTCTCTCTCCCTCTTATCCTTATCTCCCAGTGGAGCATAGGGCTTCTACCAACTTTTTATATCGTATTCGATTATTTGATTCACCGCATATGTCTCTCCAGGAATAGGTGGGTGTTTGTGATGCGGTTGGGCCACCATATTTTTAATATTTGTGGTAAACATTTGTTCACGAAAGTTTGTATTTTTGTATCAATCTCTCTTTTTCTTTTCTAGGTCTCACAGGCATAGAATAGCACAGACTTTACATTGGAGTTGTAAATACGAATTTTTGTGCTGATGGAGATTGGTTAGAGCGCCACACAACGCGCAACACGCCAAATGCAGATTTAGCTTTCATTAAACGAGAGTCAATGTCTTCGTCCGCACCACTCTTAGTTGCGACTATGCTACCTAGATAATTAAATTTATCTACGCATTCCACAGCTTCTTCTTTTATTTTAACAATTGGCGAAGAATTTGAGCTGTATTCTCCCGCCATTACTTGTGTCTTGTTGCAATTAATCTCTGGGCCGGTAACTGCTGCATATAACCTAAGTGCTTCCATATTTTCTTGTAAGTCTCTGATGTTATGGCTGAGTAGACAAACATCGTCTGCGTATTCCACGTTTTCCAATTGCATGAATGGGTTCCACTGGATACCTTTGGTTCCTTTTAAGGACGCTCGCATTACTTCATCCACCACTAGGATAAATAAAAGTGGTGATAATATGCACCCTTGTCTTACTCCTGTGGCTACTTCAAATGTGTTTGATAACAACCCGTTGTGCAATACTCGACATTTGAATCCAACGTACATTGCTTTAATAAAATTTATTATTTTGGTTGGAACTTGTCGTTTCTCTAAAATATTCCAAAGAAATCCT